AAATTCTGGGAGTTGAAGCCCACACATCTTCAAGCGGCCAAGGTTGAGAAACAGTGATTTAAACCAACAGCACCTATATCGCAGCATTGGCTTTGATGATCTGATGTAATTGGTGCTGTTTATTACTGTTATTTATTTTACTAATATCTATAAACCACCAAGAATTCACTAGGATTGAGACGGTGAATGAATTTCATGGAGGGATGGACAGATAGACAGAGGGACAATTATTGTGGTTTAAACCCAACCTAGCTAGAGAGTACTCAGGAAGGCTTTCAGCAACTTCACCCATCCTGAATAAAATTGCCCAGACTGATGATACGTCCAGATAAGGCTCAGGAAACCACCATAACTCAGAAAAAGAATTTTATGTGGATTAGGCTTTATCACCTGCCATTTATCACCGTCCTCTGTATTCCTTCCATCTTTTTATTTTCATTTTCTTATCCTAACCCTCAGCTAAAGAGGATGCTTTCTGATTGAGAGTGCTAGGTCCTCTCCAATTAGGAGTTTCTTCAACTACCTACAACCTGCTCTGGAATCAACTGAAATAGTGTTGGCTCCAATCCAGATCGTTGGCAAACCATCTTCTTTCCTCCAAAGCATTCCTTCCTAGGCTTTAAGCAACAATGAATCTCATGATACCTGCAATGCTAACGATTTGGGGGTTCCTCTAAAAAGCAATAACAATGTGTTTCCCCCCCCCCATTTCCAGGCAATCTCCTCCTTCCTCCCGTTTGAACCTGACCTCCAAGATCCAAAAAACAAGAGATGATGAAGGATGAGAATTGGCACTTGATGAATGGAAATAATGTGCAGGGGTTGATAGATGAGGCGGTGTTCTGATTTTTTTCATTGCTGGGGAGGGAAGCTACGTGTAGCTGGATGAATATTGATGGGGTTGCATCTCATTGTAATGAGGGAAGCTCCTCGTCAGAAGGTTTTGCAAGGTAGAAGCTGCTGCTTAGAAATTCACTGCCTGAAATAAATTAAAGTTGTAATAAGGGTGTGAAGCCTCCTCTGATATTTCTGAGGTTTCTTTGGTTTTTCAGGAGAGGGTGGCCCATTCTAACAAGGATCAGGCAGAACCAAAGTATGATCAGGAGATTCAGCATTACTATCTTCACCATCCATGGGGTTCTCTGCATTTTCTGGATTTCTATGGCTTTCAGAACTACTGGCCAACCCAGAATCCAGAAAGCTTCCAGGTCTTTTCTTAAGGCTGCTTCTACAGTAAAGCCACCTCTCTTATCCTTGGATGTTCAGTTCCCAATCTGTGGCTTCTCGCTTAGGGAAATCCCAGGACCCCATCCTGGGGGGTGGTCCGACCTCCTAAATGTGAAATGGAAAGCTGCAATTCTGCTTTCTTGGGGGGCTGTTTTCTCAAAGAGCAAGCTGGTGGGAAAGCACGATCACCATGGGTTCTTCATCGCCATCGTCTTCAACAAGGATCTTGCTCCAGTGATATAACTGAAAACGGGGAAATTCTGTAGGGACGCTTTGGAGAACCTGGGACTGAGGGCATCAGCTGAACCAGGATGCATTCCTGGGAGAGGGTATGGCCTGCTGGAATCCTGCTGCAAAGTCCTGAGGTTGAGAAAGCATTTTTCACCTTTTACAATGTTGTCATAAACCTGGTAACGCTATCTTTTTTCTCCTTTCTGATTATCGATTGATTTTCTCCTGCACTAAGGCAGAGATTGGCAGCCTGGTGCCAGCAGCAAAGAGCTGCAGAACATCTGGAGGGTATCAGCTTCCTTTCTAAATGTTTTAAATTCTAGCTGCTGCCTTGGACCCTTGTTTAAAAAGCATATTTTTTATTATCTTTAGATAATAAAGAATGTAGCCTCGCTCTTAAAGCAGAGGTTAATTCTGACTTCGTGTTGGATTCCCCAAGAATCTTCACCACTTCTACTGCATTTGCTTTATATTTCGCTCACTCAGCTTGGGACTCTGCTGGACCAAACTCCTTCCCACTCCTTGGGCTATTCCAATAAAATAAAAGTTTGGGCTGTTATGCCAACTGCAGCTTCACCTGATGCAGGAGGACTACAGTGGCTACAGTGATTTGGGCTGTCCTCACCATTTGGTTAGACAATTGGTTAGCGTGATGTGCTTTACATGGGGCTGCCCTTAAAGACTCTCTGGAAATTGCAGCACGTCCAGTGGGTTAGTGTATTAACTGGCTCCTGGCACTGGGAGAACATGACACCGATTCGTGGGTCCCTGCACAGGTCACCACTTGGTTTCTGGGTATATTTTTAGTTGCTGGATTTGACCTATAAAGCCATGGGTACTTACAAGTCTGCCTACTCCAAATAGCATCAGCTTGACCTATTACAGCAGTGTTTTTCAAACTTGGGCACTTGAAGATGTGTGGACTTCGACAATTCTGGGAGTCGAAGTCCACACTTCTTCAAGTGCCCAAGTTTGAAAAACACTGAACATCCAGGGAGAAGCCACTAATTGGGGGCTGAAGGTTGAAGATGCTGCTTTTCCATGGAGAGCAGGCTAGCTCCCTCCTGCTGGGTTGGTGTTGGGGGGGAAACACTTGAAAACTGACCAAATTTGAGAACATTCTCGGAAGCTTACGTATGATGCCATCTTTGTTCTAATCATCATCTTCCTTCCATTGCTCTCTCTCCTTTACGTCATTTTGGACAGGCCCCATTGAGATTTTAATCAGACTGGGGGTATTGTTTTTTTTAACATTCTCTATATGAGCCACTGAGAGGTGTTTTGATGGCGGCAGGGTAGAAATTGGACAGATCCATGAGAAGAGAGTGAGCAAGCCTCCTCTTGGTTATGCATAATCATTAACATGATTTTGGCACTGCTCTTCAAACAGCTCTATAGAAACGCAAATGATTAAAACAGACCCCCCCCCCCGAAAAAAATCAGATCTCCCCAGTGTTTTTTTTCAGGACCAAGAATAACATTTAGAAGAACAATTAGAAATCAATGTCTTGTCTCTGGTGTTGCAGGACTAACATTCAGGCTCCTTCCCTGTGCACACGTTTGCATGCATGCAGTTATGTGTGTTTGACATGTGCACGTGTGCATGCGCGCGCACACACACACACACACACACCCCTCTCCTTCCAGAGTTGCTTTTGGAGCTGTTCAGGTACCACCTTAAAGGCACAGTACGTACGGAACTGCTGGAGCTCTGCTCGTCCCCTTGCGCCTTCCCTTGGTGATCCCAACTCACACTGCCAGTCTCTGCTACTCTTCCTGCCTCTCCTGGCCCCGATCCCTGGTGGTTTTGCTAGTTTTGCTACTCAACATGCCCGCCTCTCTCTGCCCCTCCAGCGGCCCCTTTTGCTGCAGAGAGGGGAATCCCGCCCAAGGAGAAAATTCTTGGCTTTCTCCCTTCTACCTCCTTGCTTCCTCCTGAGTTTATTCTTACAACGGTACGCCCAGTCCACCTGCCCTAAAGCCCTCAACGCAGAGAGATGGGAGTGTGACGTTATGTCATGCCTGGATGCACAAGGTTTGTGGGAGTTCTCCCTTTTTTTAATGTGGTGTATACATCCGGTGTGATGTTTTACCTCCCTCTTTCCTCATTTTTTCTCCTACTGCTTTTCTTTAAACCAGCATTTCTCAATCCTGGCCACTTGAAGATGGGTGGACTTCAACTCCCAGAATGCCCCAGCCAGCATGCTGGTTAGAGAAGTCCTCCCATCTTCAAGTGGCCAAGATTGAGAAACACTGCTTTAAACTCTTTCTTTCCTTACACTTTCACTCAAACTCCACTTTCTCTTCCCACTGCCTTTCCTAGGCTCCCTCTTTGCCAGCTTTTCCCGTGGCATGTCACCTGTTTGCTTTTCCGGCCAATCCCCACTAGGCAATCATACCACAGGTTACACTTTCACTTTGCTGGTCCCTCTTCCCTTCCTCTAATTCCCTAACTTCTGTTTCACTTGCCTCTGGTTCCCTAAATTTCTATCCTCTGCCCTCCATTGTAAACTGGCTTTCAGGGCTCCTAATCTGGTAACCCACCGTGTCTCCCGGCTGCGATAAACAGTCTGTCTCATCCCCTGCCTCTTCCTTGCCCACCCTTTGGCATCCCACTCCTCTGACTCCTTTGTTGCTCCTAAACTCTAATAGGAACCAGGGGTCGCAATAAAATAAAGAGTGAGATCGCTGGAACCAGGTGAACTCTTCTCCAGCTACAGTATATTAGCAAATGCAGACAGCTTGCACAGAGAAGGAAAACAACAGTCACGGCTATTTAAAATCATATTTAATAAACATGTATTCTTTGTATAAAACAAGCTTTTCATTATTATACACAGAGAAAAAGCTATATACAGTCAATGCCTGCAACAGCACCCTTGCATAATATAAGAAGAGATCTGAAGAACAGTGATTGTGTTTTGCATCTGGCCACATTATTGTTTTTATGATTTTTTTTTTAAAAAATGGCAATCGGTACCCTGGAAAAAAGGAGAGGAATGCCGAGAGGTACCACAGGAAGGTAAAAATTGGGGGCAGGGGGAAACAAAGCAAAAATACAGGTGACAGGAAGTTGGCCTGAATTAAGGTAGTTTGCAAATCATAAACTCAGACCAAACATTGGCATTGTGGTATCAGAAAGTGAAATGGAGTTTATCCACAAAGGCACTTAGGAAATAGGATGGCCAACATTCAGAGCACTGAGAAATACAATATACTGAAATCCATTCTTCATTTGGAGCTTGGCCAATGCAATACTGAACAATTCAGTCAGTAAGACATTCAGAAAGAGGACTGGTTAAACAGGAAAAAGAACAGTTTGATCTGAAATATAAGGTGGCCAATTGGAATAATTAGCAATTTAAGGAAAGGCTTTGGCTGGGGAAGGAGTCAGAAACAGAAATTAAACAATAGACAGGGCTTAATAATTTAAAAATAGCCATGAATAAAAATATAAATCAGAGAGACAGGGTGGGAACAGGCCATTAGAAAATGCTTTAAGAATACCTGAAAGGCCGACCATGTGCTAATGGTAACCAAAGCTGAAATAGGATGGATTAAGCAAACAAAATGCTTTGGAATCCAACTCCAGCTTGGGAGTCCACATTCAAAACATCTGGAGGATACCAGATTGCCTATACCTGGTCCAGGGCAACCTTCCAGAGGGCACTCACGCAACATGCCAGGAAAGCAGGACATTTCTGAGATTGTTCCACACAGGGTTGGCAGCAGGAGCAGACGTGCCTTCTCCAGGATCAGTTTTAGAAGGAGCGTTGATGTGGCTTACAGCTGCCTGATTTGGCCCAGAATACAGCTAAAAAGGATGTTGCATTTTACAAAAGAGATGAACAAAACACTAGGGAAACAGCACTGGGTTTGACCATGAGTAACACGGTTGACTGGAACAAGTGCAAAACAACTATGATGGGTGGAATGGTCCCAAACCAAGGAAGGAGGGCAGCCTCCTCCAAAGTAGAACAGGATTGGGAAGATGGAGATCAAAACAATGACTCAAAAGGAACTATGGCACCAGAGGTAAGTTAAATGACCAATTATTTATCAATAGACAATCTGCACGAGAAACAGCAATATGGGTGGGTTGTGTTCTGTATATGGCAAGGCTTCAGAACCAATATAGCAAACCAAATGAGGAAGAATATCAAGTCATCTTGTGGAAGGCCCCCCCAAATACAAACATGTAGGAAGAGGAAGGGAAGGACATTAAGCTGTCTCTGATATGAGATGAAAGGAAATGATGCAGCAAGAAATGATGGTGACCAATAACATGAGTTGATGACGTGTAGGGGAAGTCTTCCCCCCACCCCCACATATTTCTATTTGTCCTTGGCCTGTTTGTTTTTCTTGTTCAGAATCTTCATCAGAGACTTGGACATGTAATATGGCTTCTCCTGGGAACCATCATTCCGCTCCAAGTCTTCCACTACAGGGACAAAGAGAAGACATTTACACCAGGTTGGCTAGTATGATGCAATCTTCTTCAACCTGGTACCCTCCAGATACCGTTATGGTCCTTCCAGTCAATCTTGATTCCTGCTGACTCCAAGGACAGGTCCTGCAGTTTTCTTGGCAACATTTTCAGAAGTGGCTTTGCCAATAATGTCTTCCTGGGGCTGAGGGAGTGTGACCAGCTCAAAGACACAAACCTGGACTTTGCACCCAAGGCAGGACCAGAACTCAAGTCTCCCTGCTCCAAATCTATTACCTTTAACCACAGCACCAGATATATTCCCAAATTCCAGCAGCTGGAGGAGCTTCTCCAGATTGCTGATACACTTTGTGTTTCCTAAACTTTTTTCTCTCAGAGCCCCTTCCCACTTTTAAAAATTATGGATGACCCCACAAGAGCTTTTGTTAGTATGGGTTATATTTATCAATATTTACCATATGAAAAGTTAAAATTAACACATTTGCTGCCACTACCGCTTCTCACAATTGTTTGATGGGATTTTAGAATTGTATCATTGTTCAACATAGGCTGGCAAATAATTTTGATTTCATGGACCCCTGAGAGAGTCTTGGGGGACCCCCAGGGATCCTTGGACCACACTTTGAGAAACACTGCTCTAGGGACATGAGATCAAGAGACACGAGGGGAAATACTCACAGAAACAGAGGAATAGGGTGTCAACACACATATTGTAGACACTGAAGAATCCTTGGGCTATGAGGTAGGTCCCTACAACCACCGTCTGAAGCAAAAGAAAGAAAGGAAAGAAATAAGAGAGAGAACTAGAAGATGGTGAGGCTTCAGTTTCAGAACACTATAGGATGGCATTCAGTTTACAATATTCCTATCAACCATGTTCTTAAAGATGCCAATTAGTGGCTCACAATTTGTATTCTTTCCCTTATCAACCACACGGCATCTGAAGAATACAGGAAGCTATTCAGTTGCCTCTATTCCAAATCACTGGTTTACAAATGATGTTTTTTACCACTGTGCTAAAATCTCTCTGACTCTTTCTCCCCACTCTTACTGTCCCACGCAACATTTTTTCTCCACCTACGCCTTGCAGTTTTGTGCCAGCAACCTCATTTGGGGCTGGGGGTCTGCAGAATCTTCCAATAGATTTAAAACATCTGTATGTATCCAGCACCCCAGACTGGATATGGTGATCTTTCCCACCCAGAAAGAGTTTTAAGAAGGTTCAGGGAGGCAGGAGGAAGCAGTGGTAAATCCCCAAGAAACAACCACGACATACCAGAATGGGCAACCAATAGTAATTGAGGACTGGGGATCGGAACCGGGTGTCATCAATGGGGATTCGCCCCGTGAAGAAGAAAAAGGACAGCGTGCCAATTCCTCCAACCACCAAGAGTTTCCCAAATAACAGCAGCAGATCTGTGATTTTATCCAGGACTACGACTCTGCATTGAGAGGAAGAGAATGATGGAATGGAGAAGATTTCCATTGGCCTCCCATGGCCAAGTTGTCTGAGGGCCTCCACTGTCCCACCCTGGTTACCTGACAGCGTTCCGCATCAGGAGCTTGAAGGCGTTTTTGGCTGATACACAAAAATTCTTTCCATAAATGGCAATCTGAGATGGAGGAGGATTTCAGAAGACAAAAGAAATGTTAAATCTTTGAAGGAGCTATAAGACCTCTCTCTTTGCTTTCTGAAAGCATCAGATTTCTCCCTGCTGTTGATACAGGTTGAGATGGTCCTATCGCTCCTCTCCATATAATCTGAAAACTCAACATTACCTGCTTCTCTCCTCCCCACCCGGCTACACACGCAGAAAGACACACACCTCATTTGAATGACTGATTGATTCATTGGAGGAAAAAGCTTGGAACTCAGATTGTGGCCTGTGGGCTTATTCTATAATAAAACCAGCCATTGTGGTTTAGTTTCTGGAGTACTGTGTGATGGGCAAATTTATGACTGGGCCATCCCCTTTCAGAAATACTTCTGCAGTTCCCTACAACATGTGGATGTTAACTTTAAATTGATGTGTGAAGGCAGTCTTGATGAAAACTAGCATATAATACAAATAAAACTGACAATGGGGCTGTAGAAAGCAGAATTTGGTGATATATACCACAGTTCCAAGGAAACCTGAATTGTTTTATCCATGACATTATATTACATGTGCAGCTGTCAACCCCCTTTTGACCCACACACAAAATAGCAAATTGGGTTACTGAATTTTGTATTCCCCCTGAATTCAAATGGGGAAATGAATAAATCAGGTGCACTAGGTCTTCGGGGCGGGGGACTAACTTCATCCAAGACCTCCACTTGTATGAGGATTATATCATCACTCATCTCTGCAGTCCACAGCCATCAAAAATTATGTATTCATAAAAAAATCCACTGGTGGGTGCAAAATGATTGCCAGATCCAGTGTAGTTTAACAGTAGCGGCCAAGGCTTACCATAATGTAAGCATTTCGGTTGAGGAACTTGATGAACTTCTCCAAACACCAGAAGCAACATTTCAGACAGCAGAGAATACAGCGGGCGACTTTATTGTTGGAATCTGCAAATGCCACAGCAGAATTAGAAATAAGGCTCACGTGGCTGTGGTTATATCCCTACTTGACTCTTAGAATGTGGGGCTGAACTGCTTTGAGAGGAAGATTTTCTTGAGGCTTATGTTCAGAGGTGTTCTGTAGGACGTAAGTCACTCCAGAATCTTCCAAGGTGGTGCAAAAGCTGGGTTTAAAGTGGCTCTATGGAAAGTGACAATCCATCTACCTACTAGACAAAATGCAGACATGTAGAAGTTCATTCTGCATGCACTTATTTTTGATTGCATGTAACTGGAGAACATATTTCTGTCTCACCCAGTTGAATTCCATCTCCCAAACCCTTACAGAATTTGAAAGAACATTCACGTTAATCAACTCCAGCGGTGTTAGACCCAACTCTCTAATTGCCCATATTGGGTATTTTGTCATCTAGCCAAGCCAGTTTGCCACATGCCTTTCAACTTGTGGTCCAGATATTGTAGTATCATGCGGATCAGTTGAACGATGGTGAGGATGAGGGCGCCAAAAGCAAGTGACCCTATGTGGTATCTGTGGAGAAATCAGAGGAGTTTCCACTTAAAATGTTCCATAACAAGACTGAGAATGAGGATGCATTTGAGAAAACCCAAATAGAGGATGAAGTATTCACATGTATGCCTTTATGCACAGGTCAAATCATCAGTGTATGAACTCAGAGTCTTTCAGATAGTGTTGGATTCCAGCTCCCATTAGTCCCGATCACCACAAGGTTGAAAGTTAATTTCTAAACCTTGTGGTCAAACAAGCTGTCTTTAGACCCCTGACATCTGTACTGTCCCCAAATTAAAACAAAGTAATACCCAAGCTTAGAATTCTTGAACAAGATCTCACAATATTTTGGTATTTCTGAACAAGACCTTGAGCCTATGGCACTGAAATAATTACATTACAGGTAATTTCTGAAGTCTTATTACAAGATTTATGAGTGGGTGATACAGGATCAGTGGTGCCTGGGGTCTCAAAAGGTTGGCGTCTTCCAGTTTAGAGCAAAAGGTAGCCCAGAAATCAGTAATAGCTCAGTTTATTTTCTCACTGATTGGAGACAGGCCACTCCATATTTGTGCTTGATACTTGTAATGGGAAGAAGGAATAACCTTGAGGAACAGGAGGAAGAGCTGCAACCAAGACAATAGTCTGATAAAAGAAATCTGAGTCTGGACCAGAATTGTAACCTGAGAAGGCATCTCAGACAAGATCTTCCCTAGTTCTCATGAAGATAAAGGAGTGAAGCACATTCAGATTTGCAAGATTCTGTTACAGTAAAAATAGCATTAGCATTCATAACTTTGGTTTCCTTGTCTGGCCTATCTTGAAGGGCTGACAATACTACATAGTTGCCGTCAGCACTCCCAGAGGGATGCTGAAGAAAATGCCATAGACGTCGGAAGCATCTTTCAGCTACACACCTTAATGTCCGGAGAAAGGCACTAATCAAGGCACAGGCTGGGATATCTTGAGGCTTGTTGAAGGCCCAGTAGTAAGAGGCAAAGGCTCCTGCCAGCACACACTGTCCCAGAGCAATGACAAAGTTGACACACCAGAGGAAACCCACAACGTTGTAGATCTGCAGATTGAAGATGTTGCGCTGGTAAAGCCCCTCGTTATTGTATTTGTAAAAGATGCACTCTGTCCTGCAAGGGAGCCCGGAAGAGACATTGAAATCCTAGGGAAAGAAATAATGGGACATGTGTGATACTGGTGACAGGCTGCAAAACAGGAGAGGCATTTCAGAAGTTACTCCACAAAGCTGCAGGCTTGGTAGAAGGGACGTGGACTTGGACTTTCATTCTCATGTTGCTCAGCCAGTTCCTCTTTCTCTCAGTGAAGCACAAGTCCTGAAGTCTGGGTTAAGTCATCTCTA